ACGAGTTAGTTAGATTAGAATAATAGTTTAACTGTAGTATGTATCATGCTGCTCAAATGAAAATGTACTTTTGTCTTTATTTGATTAATAAACTAACAATCTAACCTGACTACGGGTACTCAAAAAAAAAAAATAATAATAATTGCAACTAGATATTAGATATAAGGTTTTATTAATATTAATTGTTATAGTTGATTATATTAATCATTTTATACAAGTCATATATTTCTATATATATGTACATTAATAATAATTTATTGTAATGATATAGTTAAGTCAACTTATACTTTAAGAGTAGACAGACTCAACTAGAAGTTAAATAATTGAATATTTAGATATAAATAATTATAGTTCTAGTTAATTAGTATTAAAGCTTATTAATATTTTCTAATATCATTAAACTAATTTGATTTCAATATATTAAATCCTTAAAGATAAATTAATTATCAGATACTTTGATACTTTTTGTTTGAATCTTAAAAAGAATTTTTATATTCTTTATTATTATTTATGATATTACAAACTAGTTCTATTTAACTGATTCTTTATTTAAGCAAACATTAGATTTGAATATCCCAAGCTAGAATGATTAGGTTTTAAAGTTAGTCAGTATAGTTTGAATAAAAAAAGTTCAAATAATTATCATAGTTTTGAAAATATGTTTCTAAAATCTGTTGATATGATTAGAATTATGGGATATCTATAATAGATTAAATCAAAAACCTTTTTTATATAAACTTTCTAGTAGTATAACCATAAATCTTAATCTCTAATTGATAGAAGGTCAAAAGTCCTATTTTATATACTGAACCTTTATTTAAAACTTGTCTATATAATTGAATATGACTTTATAAGATAATTAGTAAAACCTGATCAGAAAGTAATTATTTGATTTTGATTTTTAAATGATATTAAACTATAGATCTTGTGATTATAATCTGGGAATAATATCACTATGTTATTAATTTACAGGTTAAATTTATTAGAATAATCTAAGTAATAAAATTATTAATTTTACTATATAAAAAAATCCTATTTTAATTATATCATTAATAGATCTTATTAATTATTATTAAAATATAATAATTATATTATAATTTTATCTTTTAAAGTTTTTAAAATTTAATTTTATCATAAGTATAATCAAAATAATAATTTTAAATATTTTTTATTTTTATTTTTTTAATATAATTAATTTATAATTTAAATTTTTTGTTTTATTTTTTTTTTAATTCACAACTATGCTATATAGTTTAATCTTTATTGAAAAGTTTATATAATTATCTACAATATTTTAAATTTTTTATATAATAACTAACTTATCATTATATTAAAGTACATTAAATTAAATTTAGAAAATAATATTTCACTTTTCTAAAAAATTAATATAAATTTTTATCTTTTAAATTTATTCTTAATAGCTATTACTATTTATTGCTTAAAACCTATAAATTGTTAAGTTAATAGAAAAAAAAAAGAAAAGAAAAAATAAGAAAAAGAAATATAATTTAAGCTTTTCAAAAATTTTTATCAATTAAACAACTTTTTTTCAAAAAAGATTTGTCTGATAATTTATTTTTCTTAGTTTATTTAAATTTCAAAAGGAATTTTCTTTATTACTATCTATAATATCAAACAAGGCAATTTAACTAGATTTTCTATTTAAATAAATATTATATTAGAATAGCTAAAAAAAACTCAAAACTCAAAAACCTTAGCTTTTAATCAAAAAATTCTTTTTATTATCTGAAAAACTTATGAATGATAAAATTTTATAATCTTATCTCTTGTTTTTTGATATCTTGAATATTTTTTTTAAGGACTTAAAACTTTTAAAAGAAAACAATTTTTGAAACTTTCTTTTTAATTATCATTAATATTATAGAAACACATAAGTATAATCAATAAGAACTTGTTTATATTTCATAAACTAACATGTTTTGTGTATTATAAAGTAAAAATTCTAAAAGGATTTAGATAGTCAGAAAAAAAATAAGCCTTTTTATTATAACAAAACCTTTATAATATTTTGCTTCAAAGGTCAAAAAATCTTTAGATACTTCACAATCAATTTTTCTTCCTTTGAGAACTTTCTTATAATTAGTATCAAAGGTGTTACTTGACTTTTCCTGATTATCGGAAGTTAAGTTTTTGAGTGAAGTAGTTTGTAAATAAGAAAAGAAGGATAGGAACAATTCTTGAAGTTATACTTCAAGTTTTAATAAAAGTATTAAGACTTTATTAGCAAGGAAGTAAAAAAACTTCTTGCAAACATCTTTTTTTGTATATGGTCATAGGATTAGTGAAAAGAATTTTTTTTTTTTATAATTTAAATTTTTTATTTTCCAATTTGATATATTAAATTAGATATTAAAGATCTCAATTAAACGTTGATATAGTATAATAATAACCCTTTTAATACAATCAATTATGATTGCTCTAGATTTCATAAACTTATAATAATAATAATTAAAATTAATGTCAAACAATATTTATTGCCAATTGTATCAAGCAATATTTATGTTTCGAGTTATTCATGCTGAGGCTAATGTATTCCACGAATAAAACCACTCTAAACGTGAAGCAACCATTTTATAGATCATAAATGTGACCGCATATAGGCCGAATTTGAATATCATAAATGTTCTACAGTTTGAATATAGGAATAAAAAATTTTCGGCGCAATGTATACTACATCCATAGAATGGAAAGTAAAAAAAAAATAATAATAATAACGAAAAGCGTCTATAATGCTAAATTGTAAATAGGAGCTGTAATAAGAATGCTTGACAATGTGACTAAAAAATTCCATATTTTCGATCATTCTACTGTTATAGAAAAGTACATCACGCGAAACAATATCTAATGGCAAAGAACCCACATTCAAACTAAATCGTATTTCTAAATAGGTATGATATCTTAAGGTAAATAAACAAGAACCGTAGAGTCTTTCTCATCTTGTTTAATATACTCGTTCATTTTTAATTTTTGGATTTGATCTAGTACATCATTAGCCTATTGGAAAAAAATAAGGTTAAAGTAATCACAACACCAGTGCTGCTAATAACGTCAATAATATATACCGTTGCCCAATCAAATCTCGGGTGCTTCAAGACTCTATCAGTAAGGTCCCTTGTCCTGACTCTTTTTTCTGGTTTCATTATTTTCATAATTAATGATTCCAATTGGATTGTTCGGTATTCTGCTATTTGCCGTGTTATCTTTACTTGTTGTGTCTCCTTGTGCTAAATATAAAATATAACGATTAAATTATTTATCATTATAAATTAACGTGTTTTCGAGCACAAACCTTTCTATTTATTTCCATATCATAAATAGTAATTGGGTAATTATTGTGTTTATTATCAATAAAAAGATTTTCATTTATATAAAATTTGTCTGTATTTGCTATCACATAAAATGATGGATCTTTTGACAAAAATTGTATTTTCCCGAATACTAAAGAACGTAAGCAGCAATCTAGATTTGCAGGTTCTATTTTTTTTTTTTTTTTTTTTAAAAAAAAAAAAGAAATTCTTTTCTGTTAAAAAATTCAAAAAAAAATTTTTTTTTTTTTTATAATTTATAATCACAATTGTATATATACCTAAATTAACAAGATCCTTAATAACATTATATGTAAGCCTTTCTCCAGGTTTCAAGTCATTAAATAATAACAATATTAAGGTTGTATATAAACTGATATCCACATATATTTTTTCCTAAACAATAAAAATTGCTAATAAGTAATGTTTAAAAAAAATTATATGCAAGCAATTATCAACATACTTTAGGATATCTTGCTTCAACTATACACCTGTCTAATCCATGCTGCCATTTTAATACTTTTAGCTTATTGCTATTGCTTGATATAACCATGTCATTAAATGATTGCTTCAATAATTTCATCTAAAGACAAATAAAAATAATTAATAATATATATTATATATATTGCTTGAAATAATAATTATAGGCTTACATTTAATGGCAACCTTAGTGGTGAATCAAACTTTGTTAAGTAATTTGGCCAACTATTTAATGTCAGAACATTTACAAATACTTCTAAATTCTCCTTTAAGAAAAAGAAAGAGAAAGAAAATTACTAGTAAAATAAGTCAAAGACAACTCAGCATTTGAACATTAGCAACAATAATCACCTTTATAGAACAGAAGTTTTTAAAATCCCTATTCAATTTTTGAGAAATAGATATATCTTCAAGCATCACACTCAACTTTTCTGAAAATCCTGGCTCCATCCCTTTAATGAAAGAATAGTGTTAGAAAGTTGAAAATTTAATTAAAAATAAAAAATAGAAACATACATGTCAATAGTATTTTTCCCAATTGTTTTTCATAATCCAACCCAGAAGTCTCATTAAATATTAATCTCTTTACTAGATCGCTGGTATATAAAACCCTAAAGATTGTTTTGTCTTCATGTGCAATTATCATTGGTTATTGTCTAACAAATCCACATATAATCCGCAATTATTAAAACAACAAACTTCTTACCCTCCATACATGAAAGAAAGTTATTAAGGTTCTTTCCAAATCTTCGCCAAACCTCCGGGTCCAATTCGGGGCTTCTCATAAAATCATTGATCATTTTTGCTGTACGAAGGAATCAACTTGAAATTAGGGTCGTAATGAGCAGAAAAATCAGATAACATAAATTTACCAACCAATTAATTCAACTATAGTAACATTTTCACTAACAAACTTTCCAATCCTCCTATGCCAAGTTTCCTTTATCTTGAAAACCGAACTTTCATCTTCGTGACCTCCCTCAACAATAGTGTTGATTTCACCTCTAAGCCGAACCAAACTATCCACCAACCCGTACCAATCATGAGTGTTTTTCATATACGCGAGGTTTCCTTTTTGCTAAATAAAGTTAGAACGTAAATAAATAGATTTCGTAAGCATATCGTCATATAGATCGTAGCAACCACACAACGATAAAACTAGATGAACCTCATAATAGGATCCAATAAGCAATTGCAATAGTTCAATAGATCCCATATTGGAAAGAAAGTAATACAATGATTTCAACGCTTGACCCCGAAGTTTGTTATCAGAAAGCATAACATTGTCGGTGACAAAAGACTTTTCAACTACACCAAGACAAAAATATAGAATTAGTCCTCTTGAAGTGAAAGATAAATAGCAAAAAGAAAACAACATACACATTTGCCATATCACGTGCGCATTTTTGTCTATCAATTCGGATCGTACCACCTTCAGCAGGGGAGCTTGGGTCTTGGGAAGGAAATAAACAGATAATTGTTCCTCCTCAAATTTTATATATTGCCTTACACGAGTCATATAATCGTGCGCATTCCCCGTCAGAATAAGTGTTTTTGCTCGATTCTCGTAATGTTTAGATGATTCTAATAGAAGAACCTTTTCTATAACAACGTAAAGCTTAAGATCTCGGAACATTTTAATTGCGTTTCGAAAGGAGGTTATATTCACGCTGTTTCCATTTCTAGGTTAACCAAAATCAGATTTCGCCAATTAATAAATAAAATAGAAGGTAGGAAGTTTATCATCTAAACAATTGATCTCCCTACCGAAATTTTCTAATTTGAGAAATTACGCTCTCGATAAGCTTTTTGTTAAACTCCGCGCTGCAAGCTATCTTCTTGCGAAACGAGAATGTTCCTACCTCCCTAAATAATAATAATTTGTAGGCATCAATATCATTAATAGCCGGAAAACGTCAAATGCTAAAATTATACCATATTGAAGCTTTTCCCAGTGCCTGAAAGGCAGGATCCATAAATGGAATGTTGTTTTTAATCGTCATCTAAAAATAAATAAATAAGTCTTCGCAATCGATCACCGGAGAATAAATCAACAAAAAGATCACAGCAAGTGTACCATTTGTTCGCATAGTATCATCCATTGGTTAACTGCGGCTTCGAGGAATGAATCATCTTTAGTCTCCGAGATATCGCTAGAAAGTAATGAAGTCGATCCAAAACTGGTTACCACTAATTTCTAAAGAATTTAAATGTCTAAAAAAATTGCTCACCTGGTTAAGGCGGGCTTCATGCGGGAAACGGTCTGTTCAAATGCATCTTTCATTCTTGTATGAATTAAGGATTTCTGTGCGGCGGGCAAGTTTAGAAATACTTCATGAAGCCTCGACAATTCGTTATTAGACTTGTTGTAGAAAAGTGCTTTAAATGCAGCGTCAAATCTCTGAACCAAGTCCACCGAATCGGACATAACTTTCGGATCTATGTAATAAAGATTCTCTGTAAGGAAAGAGCTATTAACAATGCTAATAATAACAGGTTGACCCTCGCTACCTTGCGTATTGTACGTAGGACATGCATAAATGGGGCTAAAGTTTTTACAAAGCTTTTCATATCGCATCAATCTCTCATCCGGCATCTAACCCGGTTGTAAATGCGAAAGAATTAGAAGAAAGTTATTTGGTGAATTAAAGGAAAGTGTAATCTTTTTTGAATCACATACTTTTGACATTTACGTTTTGCAAGAATGTCTTTGTTTATTCAAGTAAACGTGCAGACGCATGTATCACTTTTGTGCCGGTCGGATATTCACGTGATTATCTAAGCGTGATACCATTACATATTTGCTGCACGATAATCATCGAAATCGCATTACCATACTCAGCGCTTTATAATGGCATATAGTAAAAAAAATTTTTTTTTTTTTAAATTATTTTCCCTCTGAACTCATTTTTGCTGGTGTGTTTCTCAGATAACCTTTCTCTTGGCAGATACTAGTCGAGGCGGTCCTAGAGGAGGCGGTAGAGGTGGAGGTGTTCGTGGAACCCGTGGAGGTAAATTTTGCGCGCGACTTCGAGAAAATATTACTCGTTACATCTATTTCTAGCTCTCTCATCTCCTTTTAGGCATTCAAAAACGTGGCGGTGGAGACAGAGGGCGCGGTGGTGGCG